CAGACATGCTAAGCAAGCATTCTACCAATCCAAGGTTATGGACCTGAAAATAGGGAGTTTGTCATGGATTTTCCAGATTTGCCTAGTCTAATTATGTGAGCTATTAAAAACAGAGACATGTCTGTGGCTGGAGGTAGGAGAGCTGAAGAGGAATGGTTGGTCAGAGAAATTTGAAATGTGAGACATACTTGACTAGCTTTAAGGAAGGGACCATGAGCCAGGGAATGAGGCAGCTCTAGAAGCTGCAACATTCTCAGGCTGCCTACCGGGACTTCAGTCCTTTGGAGCATGGAACTGAGTTCTGCCCACATCCCAAATAAGCACAGGAGCAGGTTTTCCTCCAGAGCCTCCGGATGGGAGCCCAGGGTAGCAATATCTCCACTTCAGCCTTGAGAAAGAGCCAGAACACAGAAACCAAGTGAATACCATCAGACTTCTAAGCCTGGTGCTATTCCTGCCCCTTATTTTAGGAAGCATGCTCAGGGAGGATTCAAAACCTGCTTCGGTGGCCTGGCTGGTGAGTGCTTGGGGCAGGGTTCAAACTTGTCTTCACATTCCAACTCCATTGAGCATGGTCTTCAATGCTGCAGCTAGGGTTCTATGGTTTGAAGATTATAATACCTTAGGCCAAATAAAAGCCAACTACAAAAAAGGACAAAACCAAGCCAACACCCCTCCCCCCAAAAAAACCAGAAAAACACCTCAAGCCTTTTTCACATTATGAAAATGTAAAGGCTTTTGAATATTGCTCCAAAGTAAATTTTGAACAAGTCAGGGTATAAACAAGTGAAAAACAAACAAATATTTTGATAAAGCAAAAAGAGAAATCCTCAAGTGGCTGTCAATGAGATAGCACTTCCTCCCACTCAGATGATCTTTCAGCCACTATTAATGTCCGTCCATCTCTTGAAATGAAAGGCTCTCAGTGTTTGCAGTGGGGTTTAGGAACATCTCTGACTGGAGTTTCCAGTCATGACCAATTTTTATTGTCAGGAAGTTCAATGATTTTCAATCTGAAATTTATCTATTTTTCCCTTTACTTCTAACAACTAAGCAAAAAAGTTCCTCCCCCTCTTTCGGTCTTTCCATCTCTCAAATATTTGTGAACTGATATCACACCCTGCCTTTGGGTATCATTTTTCCAATCCTAAGCCTCTTTCAGCCTGCCTGTCAGTCATTCTCCCACACTACTGTGTCTTCGTGCCCAAAACCCTTTTCCATTTATTTCTGTCCTAACATCTACTCTTGAACAGACAATGGTCTGCACAGTACAGAAGGTGCCATGTTCCAAAAGGCGAATTACACAATAACTTGCAGTGGAAAATTTAAGTGTTGTTGGGTAGTTGGTTAGAAAACTAGTACTAACAGCTTCTCTGCCTACAATTTAGACAAATAAAAGGCTATCATCCATTTTCCCCAATTCTACATAAAAGTTTATGGCTACAGATACAGCAACTAAAAGGTCAAGTGCTTACTACATGCTGCTGAAAACAGTATTGTGACTATTTACAAAGTATTTAAATGACTATTAGTATAATAGGCTAAATGGACATCACTTTTTGCAGTAAGTTTTGGATATATTTTTGAAAAAACATTTCTTCAAGAACTCTGGCTAAAATGTCATACCAGATTAAAGTTACAGCCAAATGGAATCAGACTCCACATTTCTTAAAGGCCAGAAATCTGGCCCAATATTCTCTGTTCTTACCAAGAACTAAAGAACTGTTTGTTTGCAGCAGTCTCCAGATAGATCTAATGTTGGCCCTTTCCAGAAGATTTTGTAACACTCTATTGAGAAAAACTCTAAAATTTGGCCAGAGTTGGCTGTTGTTTCTGATAGCATGTAAACCCTTCAGGCCCCCTCATGAGCCATTTAGTACAAATTCCTAATTCTTGTCAGTGTTGTCTCTAAACAACTTCAACCCCATGGAGTAACTTACTAGGAGGTACTATCTGGCCAGTTACCTTTCCTTTCTAGTCAATAACATCAAGTACCTTCTTTGTGTTCAACAAGCAATCATGGCATGGACTTCTGGAACTATAATTTTTGGCCAAATGAAAACCTTCTGAAAGTCATACCAAATAATTCTATATCCATTCAATTAGTTACAGAAGCTATTAATTTTAAGTGATTTTTGAGGTAACTGTAAGGATGCAGATAGTCAACAAAAGTAAATTATTCTCCATCCTGAAGCCAGCCCATTATCTGGTCCCAAAGGATTATTTCAGAGTATACCAGTGAATTTCTTCAAGTGAGACAAATCTCTTAAATAATACTAGGCCTCATCCACTGAGTACCTACTGTGTACTTGACATTTTACAGCTACAATTGCTAATCCTTACAACCACAGGTTGGCACTATTATTGCCATCTCATACAGGGAGAAACAGGCTTCCAGTCCTTACTTATTATTAGCTCAAGGTCACAAAGCTATTTAAGTACCGCAGCTAGAAACAAAACCCACATCAGATGGGCCCCAAAGTTTCCCCACCATTCCAGGCCTGCTCTTAATGTATTACTTTCTAAAACCACTAAAATTTCAGATGGTAAAGATGCTAGCTATAGGCTTTAATTTCCTGTTTCTTTTTCCTTAAAGTGACAATAATATTGAGGAAAATGGAAGGATATTTATATGTGACTGAACCTTTTAATAGGTATTTTACAATCTATAAAGGACTTTAATGGTCTTTTGTCTAACCCTAATTTGTTTAAGAAATAGCTATTGACCTTAACTTGATGGGCCACTACATTAACACTGGACACACAGAGATGAATAATGGTTTCTATATTCAAGGTGTTTATGGTCTAATGAGACACATCTACCCCCAAATGAATGGTCCCCCTTTTGCAGAGGAAGAAATTAAAGGCTGGTGAGGCCTGAATGTCTTGTCCTGACTTAGCTTCAGGAGGCAGAGACAGGACCAGTTACCAGGTTCTGCCAGCTCTACCTCTGCCTACTTTTTCACATCTATCTCCACTATTGACACCCTACTGCACTCTGCCATCTTCTTGCATGTGGACATCCATTCTGCAACCCTCAGCCCCACATGTTCTCTACACAGCAGCTACGGGGATAGCTGGAGACATCTCACTCCCCTGCTTTCAGTTCACTGCTTTGGTGGCCATCAGTTCTATTCACAAATATTCCAACTCCATCCTTTCTTTCTGGCACATGGTAGGGTTTAGAAGTTAAATGGGGCACATGACTTTCTTTGAACAATAAAATGGGAGCAAAAGTGATATGTATCACTTCTGAGTGGAAGCTTTAAGAGCACTTTTTCTCTTCTCTGCCAAAATGATGTTCTAGATAGTGGTTATTCTGTTAGCCTGGGCTCCATACTGAGAAAAAGATAGCAAGGTAGTCATGCAGTATGAAAAATAAATATGTAAAGCTGTATCTTCAACCACTCCAACTGCACTAAAATGAAACACAAAAGTCTTACCATAAAGAACAAATTCCAATATAACTATCTCCTATGTACCTTCTGATCTTATCTTGGGCCTGTCCTTCTCACTTGCGTATATGGCCACTTACAATTTTAAGAATGAGCCAAGCTCCTTTCCACCCTTTAATGCAAGATCCTTGGCATGGTTTGCTCTTTCCTAACCTTCAGAGCTCAGTTTAAAAATTACTTCCTCAGAGATGTCTCCCTTAATTACATCATCAAAGAAGACCTTCACTGTGATTCTCCATCACCACACCCTGATCACCTACTGCATGGCATTTCAGTTTGACTTTCTCCCAGTGGACTGTAAGCATTGTGAGGGAAGAACTTACCAATATCTCCAGTGCCCAAAACTCTACTTTCTAGAAAGTACCTTATCTATGATAGGCACGCAATAAAAACTTGGTAAATGAACAAATGAAAAGGACTAGACTCCAGAAATGAGATAGAACATTACAGATAGCCTATCACAGGAACAAATGGTGGTGGTAATGGTGAGGATGGAAGGGAACTCATGTTTACTGAGGACTGTCAGGGACCAGCACTGTTTTCGTACAGATCAGGCAACACAACTAGTAACAATTTTAACCCTGACCTCTAAACCATAACACTAGGGAAAAAATAAAACTGATAGTTTTTTTTCCAGTAAGTACCTGTTGTACACATAAATTTTATTTATATACAAATACATTTCTATTCCAAGAACCAGTTTTTGTTTTTAATAGGATCATCTTAAAGTCTATTTCAGGCATCTCCTGTTTTCAGGGACCAGTGAGGGCAGAATAATACAGCAAATCCAAATCAGTAGATTTATCATTTCATTGGAACTTCATTCTTAAAGTCATTTTTTTTTTGTCAGAGGAAGAAGTCACTATGAATAGGAAGTCAAGTTCTGAATTTATTCTATGGGACTTGGGATCAACTTGTATTGGCTTAATTTATCCTCTGGCCCTATCACCAAAAACTATTCTGCTGGTCACAGAACATACAAAGCTGAATGCCAGCAAGAGCTCCAAACATCTAAAACAAATCAAACAATCTGGGTTTTTTATAGCTAAAGTAACAAAGAAAGTGGGCCTGCATAACTCCCAAACAGCTCTGTTATGCTCTGCATAGACTCTCGGGATTATCAGAGCAGAAGGACCCTCAGGGACCATTTACTTAAATCCCTTCCTTGAATAGTTTAGGAAATAGAGAAGCAAGTTTCCTGGCCCTGGTCTGGTGCTCTTCCCATGACCCCACACTGACTCCCTAACGAGAGCTGGTCTCATGTCAAAGCACCCAGCAGGCACTATCCAGAAGCATTCAGCTGGTAAACTCCAAGGTTTCTTTTCTTTTTTTTTTTTTTAATATTTATTTTTTAGTTGTAGTTGAACACAATACCTTTGTTTTATTTATTTATTTTTATGTGGTGCTGAGAATCGAACCCAGGGCCTCGCATGTGCTAGGCGAGCGCTCTACCACTAAGTCACAACCCCAGCCCAACGTTTCTCTTATACTGCATCACTTAGAAAACCCTGAGCAGAAAGAACATACACAATGAAACAAAGGAGATCAGCAAGAGTTATTTTAATTTTCTATTAAACATTCTTCCAAAAGCATTATATTTATCCCGTATCTTAGATGTAAGAAATAACATTAGAATTAGAAAAACTAGGAAGATAAATGCAGATAATTAACCAAACATGAAAAAGAAAAATTATAATAAAAAGCTGAGAGCTTTATAAACTTAAATGATTATGAGATAATAATTTGAAAACTATGCATCTAAAATTAAACTTTTTTCAATTATTTTTAGCAACAGCATTTTATGACACTAATACCCTGATTTTTCAAGAAAGAAACCCATTTACAAATATTTTTACTTTAAAAATAGGCCTGTGTTCGCTATAAATGCCCTCCCCTCCAACACAAGCTCTGATTTTATCACTTTATTTGGGAAGAAAAAAAAATCTTTTCTGATGTCATGAAATGCAAAAGTTTACAAGTTTTGTTTTGTTTTGAAATCTCAGTACAGAATTTTAATTATTAGTAAGAAACTGATGCGGGTCATTAAGTGCATAACACTAATTACTGGTCAGCTTCTGCTATTCTGTTTCTTCCCTAGTTCTCCCAAGAAAAACTTACACTGAATCTTCAGCAGAAAAATCCTTAAATATAACTTCTAAGCAAAATGAGAGCTTTTGTTTGCATAGTTTTTACATTTTTTACTGTTCCTAATTTTATTCTGAAACTAATTTACCCCAAACCATAATTACCATATTAACTTTGTCATGCACAGTTGTATGCAATTCCTCAAAGCAGTAGGACACCATCAGGCTCTGTTTACCAAGAGCATAGGAAAAACACAATTGGTTACACACCCATTTAACAAATCTGTCTCATGCTATTTGCCAATGTGTAGTTTCAGTCTTAGTTCTGACAATGAAATATGTGGATATAGATCTATATATCTCATCTCGATTTTCCAAAGTTGCCAAAGGGAATTCTTCACAGCTTAGCTTTGCCTGGTTGAAGCTGAAGATTTTGTAACTTCATTGCCAGGCCCATGTTGCCAGTGATTTTCAATTTGCCTTGAAAGAAGGCCTGTAAGACAAAAAAATACTTACTACTTGGTGGTTTTTGTTTTGAGATTGCTAATGTTTCTAAACTATCCATCCCTGAGATCTGGTATCTACATCACATAACTTTATTCAAAATACAACATTTGGTTTTCTGGAATAGACACAGAACCAGAATACTCAGGAAGAAGAATATGTAAAGGACATGCTTTACCTATAGCACTGGAAGGAACATCTTTTAGAAACGGAATCTGTCTTTACCTGCCTTACTCAAAGGTGGTACTTTTTCCTCAATATTAGGCAAAGAAAATTCATACTAGATGGTTTTCATTTAAAAACATTATATATGGGTTGGAAATACAAACTGAAATTCTCAGTAAACTGCTGGGAGAAGAAGCACACTCAAAACACATTTGGAAAACTCTTGGGATTCAATACCATGCAGATGAAATGCCACCAACTGCTTTGCTCTTTGCTATCCCTGATAAAGGATGGATTCTCCATCCTCAAGAGGACAGGCCTTCTGCTGTAGGTGCTCAAATTACTCTCTGGCTCAGTGAGAGGGATTAGACCACTCTGAAGGGCGGGGCTGTGAGCTGTTCCATTTAACAAGGCCTGGGATTAGATCACACAATGTTCGAAATGTTACCATGTAACAAAATCCTGGGGAAACTCTAGAGAAATAGCAAAATTGGGACTGAAGCATGATTTTCTTGACATGATCTCAGTTTTTTAACTCAATTCCTGAAGTAAATAAGAGCTAGATGAGAAAAGTTTCTGATAATCTTAGCTTTTACACAAGTACACTGAAAAGTAAGGATCTTTGCTGTTTTTTTCTATACCTCCCGGTAAGGGTGACTAATTCCTTTTTTTTTTTCTCCTCTGTCTGGACAAACTAAATATTTCCCTCTTTATGTGGCACAAAGCCTCTGTCTGATGATTTAAAGGTCAGTTCTCTCAGACACAATATATTTAACATATGTCACTTAGAAATATGGACCAGTAGCAGCCCAAGAGAAACTCATCATCTTCTCCTTTTTTTAAATTAAAAAATAAAAATATTTTTTTTAAAACTAATAGAGAAAACATGAATCTCTCTCTTTAGAGAACCCAAACATAAGGATCATTTTAATCTGGCCCCTAGGTGTTCTTCATGTGTGCTTTTAGACTGGAGAGCACATTGCTTTGTTTCAACTGTAGCCAAACACTGAAAGTAGAATTTCCATTGCATTTAATGATTTCCAGTCAAATCCTCTACTGAGCATAAGGGAAGACCATTATCACATTAATAGAAATGTCTGCCATTTTAATCTTTAATTCCACTGGATGCTAACAGGTGCTGAATGAAAATAAGCTAACACCTTTCCCGCCCAAAGAGGCAGAACATAGATAAACTGAGGGAATGAGGGCAGCAGATGTGTGAAGTTTGAGAACCCTGCCAAGACTGTGGACAGTATGTGCCATGGGACTGGGAATAGCAGCTGGGAAGGAGGATGACAGCCAGCTCCTATACTGGTGGCCTCTGTTTCGTCCAGGTTTCTGGAGCAGGCTCTGTGGGTAGAAATGTCAATGCCATGGTGTGGATTCAGCTAAAATGGCACACAGGCACATCTCTTTCTAAAAGGCATTTAAAAAAGAATATAAGTGGGAGTCAGAGTTGGTTGTCTGGGCTAATCTTATGAATTACCAGGGAACAACAGGAACAGGACCTGAAATGAATAAGGCTCAGGAAATTAAAAGAAAGGTTTTAGTTTTTCGTTGTTATTTGTCAATGTATCAAGTTGACAGAAAGTTCAGCTTGTCCTGTCTATTGAATGCTGTGCCACCTGAGTATAAGGAGTCAATAGATCATTTGGGGACCAGGATGATCCAAACAAGTTATAAATACATTTTAGACCAATAAAATTTAATCCAGCAACAGTTTATAAACCCTAAAAGCATCAGGCATTGTGCTAAGTTCTAGAAACACAAAGATCAATAAGATGTGGTTTGTCCTCTGAAACTCACAATCTAATGGGGACAGGCACATTAAGGCACTATGGTAAGTGCTAAGCTAGCAGCCCAGTAAGTGGTTCAAAGAGGAACTGCTATATCCCCCCAACAACCTGGAAGTAAATCCTTGGAGATAACATCTGAGCTAATTTCAAAAGACAAGGGAAGGACATCAGGGAAGGACAGTTCAGAGAAAAAAAAGAACATGGGCAAAGATGTCTGTTCCCAGTACATCCTCCCTCCATTGGGAGCGTGAGTTCCTCTCCACTGTGCACTACTAACTTCTAGTTATCCTGGGGGCCACTCCTTATTGTTTCCTCTGTGAGGCGTCCCCTGATGGTCTAGAACACGTAGCTGCTCCTTCTTCCACCCTCCCCAGTGACTTCAAACCAAGTATGGCACCTTGGATCTTTGGCCACATTTGATTTTTTAAGACCTGTCTTGTTCCAAACTGTGCTTACCCTAAGCATGGACCTATTTCCTACTCTTCCAGCACATAGGACAGGGTGTCTGGCACATAGCTCACTGCACAGGTGCCTGCCATTTTTAGGTGAACATTTGGGAGAACACTGAGTTTTGTATGTCTGACCACTTTGCACTTCAGGAAGGAAGTTGAACGGGAAGGCTAAAAGATCCACCTAGTAACAGGATATACATCAAACTCACCGACTGAGGATTCATTTTACCAGTCATTAAAGCCAGTAAGTCCGAGTCAGCCATGGTGATTGTGCAGTCAGCCTTCTTATCTAAAACAGAGACATGAAGGAGAAGGAAGAGAAAAGGGAGAGTGTTCAGTTTCCATATACATTTTAGTCAAGAGCCACTGACTGCAATAGAACCATACCCAGTCTGAAGCAGCATAGGGAAATGGGCATTCACCTACACTTCTATAATAGCCTAGTAAGATGTGCATAGACTACAACTTCCATATCTAACTAAATGAATTAATTAAGTAAATTATGGTATAGTCATACAATGGGATACAATGCAGTCATTATAAGGGATGATGTGAATCCAGACTTACTGACCTGAAGAAATTTTCATGTTATATTACACATGACTTTGCTATATAAGCCAGTTACCAAAAAAAGCTGTATGATCTCATTTCTGCTTAAAACAGTATCCAAATACATAAGAACAGGACAAACATCTGTCCCCTTAGACAGCAATATTTCCACTTAGACAGCAATAAATTACTAATAGTTATTGTGGACAGATCTAAGGTGACCCCTATGACCTCTGCCTCTTGTCATATATACATGCCACTGTGTAATCCCCTTCCCTCCAATTTGAGTAGGACCTATGACTTGCTTCTAGCCAAAAGGATGTGGCGACAGTCAGGGAATGGCAGTCCTGAAATTTTTCTTATGTTATATAAGCCTCCATCTTACTAGCAGACTCACTAGTGACTCTTCTGCTGGCTTTGGATAAACTAGCTGCCATGAGTGACCTTCTCACAGAGAGGGCTATGCTTCCTCAGGAGCTGGAGGGACTCTGACCTGGAGCCAGTAAAATACTATAGCTGTCATTCTCACATCCATAGGAAATGCATCCTGCCAGCAAATGGAGTGAGCCTGATGCCAACCCATTCACAGCTAGGCCTCCAGATGAGGGCCCAGCCCTGACCAACACCTTGATTGCAGCCTGTGTGACCCTATGCAGAGGACCCAGTGACGGTGTCCTCAGCCTCCTTAACCATGGACATTTACAATAAATGTGTGTATTATTTTAAGCTTCTAATTTTGTGATAATTTATTATGCAATAAAAGAAAATGAATACAGTTACCTAGATCCAAAGTTAACAAATTTGCTCTATAAAGAATCAGACACAGGGGTGGGGGGTGGGGGTGGGGAAGCTGGGGTTGTGGCTCAGTGGTAGAGCACTTGCCTAGCATGTGTGAGGCACTGTATTCGATCTCAGCACCACATAAAAATAAATAAATAAAATAAAGGTGTTGTGTCCAACTACAACTAAAAAAAAAAAAAAAAAGAATCAGACACTTCATATTTTAGGCTTTGTGGTCTCCAAGTATGGATTACAACTACTCAACTCTACCTGTGTAGTGAAAAACAGCTACAAATAATCCACAAACAAATGTGTGGCTGGGTTCTAATAAAACTATTTTCAGGGGCTGGGGTTGTGGCTCAGCGGTAGAGTGCTTGCCTAGTGCATGTGCAGCCCTGGGTTCGATCCTCAGCACCACATAAAAATAAATAAAAAATAAAGGTATTGACAACTACAACTAAAAAATAAATATTAAAAAAAATATTTTCGGGGCTGGGGTTGTGGCTCAGCAGTAGAACACTTGCCTCGCATGTGTGTGACCCTGGGTTCGATCCTCAGCACCACATAAAAATAAATAAATAAACAAAAAAACTATTTTCAAAGCAGGTGGCAACTAGAGGAGGAAATCTGCAATTCATATATATCTGACAAAGAATTTGTTGTGTCCAGAACACAGAAAGAACTCCTTCCACTCAGAAAAGCTCAGATAATCAATACACAAATGGGCCATTGATAATAAGCATAGTGTAAAAAAAGGCTCTCTAAGTGGCCAAAACCCACATTAAAATGTGCTTAACTTCAATAGTCATTGGAAAATGCATATTACAATTAAGATGAGATAGATGCCACATATCTACTAGAATGAATGGCTGAAATTAATATATATATATATATAGTTGGGTAGTGATTATATATATATATATACATATATATATATATGTATATATATATAAAATATTATATCAGCACTAGTAAGAATGAAGAGCAACTGAAAAGTCAACCCAATAGCAGAGTTGCAGGTACTCTGGAAAACAGACTGGAAGCTTCATATAAACTACATAGCTAGTTCACATACCATGTGAACTAGCTATCCTACACTTACACATTTTCCAAAAGGAAAAGAAAACTTACGTCCACACAAAATCCAGTATGTGAACATTTATTGTGGTTTTATTTGTAATTGTCCAAAGCTGGAAAGAGCCCAAATGTGCTTCAACCGGTGAGGGGATAAAGTACTCAGCAACAAAAAAGAAACTACTTGATAATATACAAGCAACAATGCATGAATCTCAATGAGAGAAGCAGGCTCCAAAAGCTACACTTTTATGATACAATCTGTATGACACTGTACGAAACGCAAAACTACAGGGACAGAAATCAAATCAGTGCTGGCCAGGTCCTGAGGGCAGGAGGAGGGGGATGACTACAAAGGGACATGAGGACACTTTCTGGGGGTGGTGGTGGAAATATTCTATATCTTGAATTTTGGTAGTGGTTATACATCTATGCATTTGTCTAAATTCATAGAATTGTTCAACTAAATAGGGTAGATTTTATTCTATAAAAATTATACCTCAATTAACATTACTTAAGAAAAAAAACCTGTCAGTATCAAGTACTGTCAAAAACATGGAACTGAAACTCTCATATTAAGTGGAAGGAAATATAAAATAGTGCATCTACCTTAAAAACCCGTTTGACCACACTGTACCTTATAACCTAGCATTTTCACCTCTGTGTATATGTCCAATGGAAATGAGAACAGATCCATTAAAAGACAAAAGAACGTTCAGAACAGTTTTATGAATAAGCCTCCAAGATGGGAACAACGTTAAGAAACAATCAGTCAATAAACAAATTCCAGGGCATTCACACAGTAAAAATAAGCTATTGCTACATGCAACCATAATACTGAAATTTTAGGCTGCCAGGTGAAAGAAGCCAGACTTAAAAATGAGTAAATATTGTATGGTTCCATTTATATGAATTTCCAAAATAAATAAAATCAATCTGTGGTGAAGGATTCAGAACACAATGTAGATGGTGATGGGTAGGGCCTGGGGGAGGCTTATGGAATGCTGGCAACATTCTCCATTCTGACCTGGGAGGTATGTGCATCTACAAACATTCATCAGCTGTACACTTAGATTTATGCCTTTTACCACAGGCTAGAATTTAATAAAAATATTACCAAAACAAAGCAAAAAAAAAAAAAAAACACAAAAAACAGGTGGTAGGCTATATTTGGTCTATATGCATAATTCACCAATTCCTGGGCTATGTGGTAGAATTCTGGTGTACTCTTCTCTATTTTTTCTAAATTTTTCATGCCAGGTGTATATTGCCTAAACAATACAACATTTAAAATGTTAATTTTAGTATCATCAAAGTAAAAAGACTGAACAACAAGAACTAATATCTCCTTGCTAAATCAGCCATGTTTACCTTGGGCAAATGGGATGTGTCAAATGCAAAGGGAAAAATTCACTAAGAGACCAGTTTTTTTAGCAGTTGATATTTTAGGCAATCTACCAACATAACAATAGTGCTTTAGCAGCTGGCTCCACCTCTCATTAAGGATTAGAAAATTAAAAAAAAAAAAAAAAAAAAGAGGATTGCCTCAAATTAAAGTTGACCACTTTCCAAAACCAAGGCACTTTCTAGTCTACTTTTTATTCACTGTACTTATCTGAAACCACCTTATGTATTTACATATTTTTCTGCCTGTATTTGTCCAAGAGAATAAAAACTTCAAGGGGGCAGAGCCTCATCAGTTCTGTTCACTGTTGTGTTCCCAGGCTACTGAAGAATGCTTTGCACATAAAGAGCAATCAGTAAATGGCTCAGTCAACCTGTGCCTTAATATGAGACAGAGGTAAACTGTTAAAGCATGGCATGCCCATATTATTAAATAACTAGCAAGAGAGAGAAAAAATGTTTTTATTTTATGTCTTACAACTCAGGAAGAGTCTCTAACTCAATGTCATTCTATCCTAGTTACTAATGAAATTTTCTCTTATTATGGGGAAAAAAAGGTTTAAAGCCTTCAAAGTAAAGGAATTTACAGTCTAGAAAATGAGTTGTATTGTAGATTATATATATATATATATATATATATATATATATATGAGAGAGAGAGAGAGAAGTAAAAAGCTAACAAAGTGAGATAGTTGGGCCTGGTTCTAATATTCCAAGAAAGGACTCCTAGTCACTGAAAGGTGACTTGGGGGTAGGGGTGCAATCTGTGGCTGCTGTAATACTGACATCTACGGTACCCTCACAATGCTAAGCAGTTCACATACCTGGCCTCATCTAATCTTTATAACAATTCTATGAGAGTTAGAGAGGTCAAAAAACTTGCCCAAGATCACACAGCAGATTCATGTTGTCAAAGCCCATACTCCCAACTCCTGTATTCTATGGCTTTCTTCGGTTATAGGAAAGATGCAAACATTCCTGTTATAGTTTGGATCTAGAATGCCTCCAAAAGCTCATATGGTGAAAACATAATCCCCAATGCAGCAAGGCTCAAAGGTGGGGCTTTTGGGCAATGATAGGTCATGTGCACTCTGACTTCATCAGTGGATTCATCCATAGTTGGATGGACTACTAGGAGGTAGTATCTAGTTGGAGAAGTTAGGTCACTAGTAGTGTGCCTTCTTTCCCTCTCCCCCTCCCCTCCCCCCCTCTCTCCTTCCCTCCCCCCTCCCTCCCTCTCTCTCCCCCTTTCCCCCTCCCTCCCTCCCCTCCCTCTCTTGTTCCTGTTGCCATGAGGTGAGCAGCTTTCCTTGGCCATGCCTTCCACCATGATGTGCCACCTCATCTCAGGCCCAAAGAAATCGACCCAGCTGGCCATGGATCGAATCCTCTGAAACCATAAGCCAAAATATATCCTCTTCTCTAAGTTGTTCCTGCCAGATATTTTGGTCACAGTGACAAAAAGTTGACTAACATAATCCCTCAAATTAGTTTTGACTGGGCCTTCACCAATTCAATAGCATCTAATGAATCCCAGATGTTTTCCCAGTTCTCCAAGTCCTTTTGGGGGGATTAGCTGACAAGTCTATGCATTTAAACTAATCAGTATTTAATACATGGATTGGGGTGGAAGCATGGATTTAGCATGCACTTATAAAACTAGGTGCTTCACCTACCTTATTTAATCCTCAAAACAGCTTTACAGGTTATTTTCACCCATTTTCTAAATGAGACACTTAGACTCAGGGAAGATATGTACCTTGTAAGGGACAGAGCCAAGACCCAAACTAAACCAAGGTCTAGGTATCTCCAAAGGCTATGTTCCTTCTAATGTACCTTGGAGGTAGAAGACTCTGAAGCTTTCTCTGTCATGTTACTCTTAAAGGGATAAGGTTGAGAACCCAAGTGCTAGGAGGGAAGAATAAAGAATGAAGGAATACTAGATAAATCATGTAATGTTAGATAAATCAAAGCTGGCTTCTTGGAGATATGCTATGTGAATCATTTCAATGGAGAGATGGGAAAGGCGGAACTCATGAAAAAGATACTAAAAGGTATCTAGGAAGCAAGAAAAGATTATGGAAAGTGCACAAAATCTACAAGTCTTTAATATAATCATTACCAAGCTCTTAAAATACAAGCAAATTAAATACATTTAAATGAATTTTACTTCTTGTTAAAGAAGTAAACCTCCTAGCCCTATATACACATCACAAGAATTAGCAATTCTCCTTAAGATGCCAGTTCAAACTAGGACAAGTTACTGATGCTTTAACATAGCTAATCTCTAACAAATGGTCATTTGTTAGTGGATGTAAAAAGAGCTGGTAATTTCCAGTGGTGGCTTTTACTGGCTAAGTCCATTTTTCAACACCACTGCTGACTGCCAACAGGTGTCAGTTTCAGCAGAAATTACCCTGCCCCAGGCTAAGATCTCTTCAGCACCTGAGCACATGAGAAAAGTCACTCTGCAGGGAACAAGGCTTTTCTGAAACCATTCAACAAGCAAATTACCTTTCGTGACAAATGACCAACCAAAAACATTGAAACAGGAGAAAGAGGAGAAATTTCAAAATCACCTTAACATTTGTTGGAAAATATCAGAATATAATCTTACAAACTACTAACTTTAGTTATTTTTAAAAAATGGCATTATTATATTTCCCAAAGCTCTTTCTATTTCTAAAAGCTAGAATCCAGATTAAGCTTTAGCTTTTCTTCCTGTACCTTAGAGGGCAGCTCATAGAATGCAGACATAAAATCTTTTTCTGCCTACTTGGTTTTGGGGGGAAAAACAAAAAAAGATTATGTGTAAGTCAGGAATCTTCACAAAAAGTCACACTGCCCATACCAGATGTAGGCCCTTACCACTGTTTAGCTTTTCCTTCTTTATCCTCTCACTGATTCCTTATCAACAGTGCACATAAAATGCTCTTAACTTTTTCTCCTGCTTCCAAGCTCTACACTCTATTCCAAGAGCTCTGTCAACCTGCTCTCCCCTTGAAGTGCCCCTGAATATTTAAGCACCCTTGCAGAGAAAGAAGTATTCATCGCACCCTGCTAGGCTAACCCTCCTTTCACTGTGCCTGTGCTCCTGATGTCATCATCTCCTCCAGGACCTTCCTCAGTACTGTATCAAAAATGAAGCACTATCATCTGTGATAGACCTCTTTCTTCTGCACAGATTCCAGGACCCACCAATTTTACCTCAAATACCCCAGCATTGACCTTGAACAACACTACTCTGCTCACTGCCATATTATGCTGCTCACTCAGTGGTGACATCCATCCTAACTGCTCTCTCTGCCTTTGATCACTCCCTTTCCAGTTCATCAGGTCCAAAGCACTAGCTTCATCCTCTAAAATACAGCTCTGACTTTTACTATTTTCTACTTAAAAAACAAAGGATTCACTATGTATCAAGTAACTTTCAAAGTTCCTATCATGACCCTTTAAACCCTTCAAAAAGCAGGTCCCAATCTATCATACATCTAAATTACACTAAACCCTGTCAGACAAGAGAAATTTAACAGTGTGATACAGCTACCACTGAGTGAAGGCTTGCTGAGTGCCATTCATTCAGTTGTTTGAATATCTTGATTTTTGAAGGCCTACCATGTGTCAGGTACTGTTCTGGGGCTAGAAAGGCAGCAGTGAATCTAACAGGCAAAAAGCTCTGCCTTCAGAGATTACAACTCACATGGGGAGATGAACAATAAGTAGATAAATAAAAAATTATTATATAGTATATCACAGAGTAACAAATACTATGGAGAAAAATAAGGTAGAAAACCACAACAGGGGGCTGGGGTGGCTCAGTGGTAGAGCACTCGCCTAGAATGTGTAAGGCTCTGAGTTCAATCCTCAGCACCACATAAAAATAAATAAATAAATAAATAAATAAAGGTATTGTGTCCAACTACAACTAAAAAAAAAAATCCAAAATGATTAAACACACACACACACACACACACACACACACACAATTGGGAATGACAATGGGGTATGATTTTTTAAAAGGGTGGTTAGGGAAGGGCCCCTGGGACAAAGATCTGAAGGAACTGCCCAGAGAGCCAGGAGGAAACAGAGAGCAGAAAATCCCCTACCCATCGAGAATACCTCACATTCATGAAATAGCAAATAGACCAGTGTTACTGATGCAAAGTGAGGGAGAATGTGCCAAGACCAAAAAAAAAAAAAAACTGGGGACAGATCATGAGGTGCCATTGTAGGATTTCTGCTTTTACCTGGAATGAGTTGAAGGTCATCAGATGGTTTTGAGACGAGGAGGGCAAAAACTGGATTTGAGTTTTTAAATGATCACTCTGGCTAGTTGTGCAAATGGACAGAAGCTAGCAGACTCAGCAAAAATAAGAGGACAGCTCAGACCAGGTGGTAGGAGTACAGGACAGGATTTGCTGCTGGGTTAGACTGTGTAGTATGAGAGAAAGTGGGGGTCAAGGATGACTTCAAGGCTTTTGGACTAAGGAAATAGTAGAACACATGAGTAGAGTGGGAGGAGTACACACTGCAGGAGAAGGATCAGGAGTTCAGTTTGACACTTGTTAGCTTTGACATATCTGCTAGGTATTGCTATACTTTGAATGTTTCCTCTAAAAATTGCATGGCCATTTAACAGCATTAAGAGGTAAAGCCTTTAAGAGGTGAATAGGCCAAGAGGGCTCTGCTCTCATGAATAGAGTAATGCCATTGTTGCAGGACTGGGCTCCTGAAAAAAGGGTAAGTTCTGCCCCACCCTTCTTCTTCCCTCCTCTCATTCTGTCTCATGCACACTCACTTGTCCTTTCACTATATTATAATGCAGTAAGAAAAGTTCTCACCAGATACATCTGCTCATTATTGGACTTCCAGTCTCCAGAACTGTAAGCCAAATACATTTCTTTTTTTTTTTTTTTTTAATATTTTTTTAGATGTGTAGACCTTTATTTTATTCATTTTACTTATACATGGTGCTGAGAATTGAGCGCAGTGCCTCACACATGCTAGGCAAGTGCTCTACCACTGAGTCACAGCCTCAGCCCCAGCCAAATACATTTCTATTGTTCATAATTTACCCAGTCTGTGATATTCTGTTATAGTCACAGAAAACGCCCTAAGACAGGTGTCCTAGAAAACTTGTCATTTAAGCAGCTGGATAAACCCCTTGGAGTTCAGTGGCTGGGTACTTGATAAACACATACATCTGGGAATCATCATTGTAGATTGTTTTAAAAGCATGAAACTAGATGAGATCCCCAGGGAGTGAATGAAATACAGCTGAGCCTTGTAACACTCATGAACTTGAGAGAGAAGGAGAAATCAGCAAGAGAGGCCAGGAAGGACCAGCCTGGAAGAGGAAAAGCTGGAATTATAATATCATGAGGGTGGGAAATTAACCACTGAATTCAGCAAGATAGTGGCTATTGATGACTTTGGCAAAAACAGATTTATGATACTGATCAAGACAAAAGGTGACTGGAATGAATTCAAGAAAGATTTGGATGAGAAGAAGAGGAAATAGTAGCAAAGCCAGTCTTCCAAGGCCATACATATAGCCATGCACTGGACCATGTTCTTTACAGGCTAATTAAAAGAATATTCCTAACCCTTCCATTAACACTATGAAATAGGAACCATTTATCAGGCCCATCTACAAATAAGAAAATCACGGTTAAGAGAAGTAAATAACTGGTACAAGGTCAGAATCTGAGAGAGGCAGGGCCAGGACCCCAACCTAAGATTATTATTATTATTTATTTTTTATTTTTTAGAGCGAGAGAGGCGGGGAGAGAGAGAGAGAGAGAAATTTTTTTAATATTTATTTATTTAGTTAGTTAGTTTTTGGTGGACACAAATCTTTATTTGTATGTGGTGCTGAGGATCGAACCCGGGACGCACGCATGCCAGGCGAGCGCACTACCGCTTGAGCCATATCCCCAGCCCCCCAACCTAAGATTATTTAATTCCAAAGCCTACGACTGGCAGCTCTGTGGTTCAGTCTCCCAATCTTGGGAAGAGGCAGCTTTGATCTACTCCTGTACCCAAGATTTAATGGTTCTTTAACAAGGTCCTGTAACTCCACTTTTGGGGAATAACCAAGTAGACTCCAGTTCTCCCAGCTGATAGTCTTTGTGAACCAGTCAATGTTCCATAAACCAAGTTACTGCTGCACTGACCTGAGTTGGGAAGCACCGATCCTTTGCCATTCTTCACATCCACCACCCAGGTGGCTTCTTTACCCCCAGGACCATCCTTCACCTTGAAGGCAAAAATACCACCAATTTTCTTCACAAACTGTTCCCCATCCTGGAAATAAAAATAACACTCAGAGTTATATTAGGTCGCTTTCTCCCCAAGCAAATAAATGTTTAAACAGGTACAAGATGTGAGCAGCTGGGCCACTGGGCAGTCCCCAAGCTCCTTTAGGATCTTCCACCCAGAAGTCAAAAAGGCAACCAAGCAACAATTCCCAAATCTGCCAAGTCCTCTGTTAAAAAGGGCTCTCAGGCACAACTGCAGGAAGGGAAAGAAAGAAAGAAAATGTGCCAGCATTTTCTGCTGAAACAGCCTTCATTTTTCTCAATCATTTGGGCACGATTCATTCTGGTCTCTTAAAATGCAGGCATCCTCACTGCCTTTCTGCAGATTAATGTTTTTTATGTCTAATTTTGGTTTCCTACAACCAGACTTAAAGTGAGACCAAAGACTTTTGGGGGGGAGTAATTTAATTTTTGTATTAGTCTAAAGAATTATTTAAGTAATATAATGCTTACATTCACCACTTATTTTTGGATCTTGGGGAACAAAGCTGGCCTAAATATAAAAACATCCTCAGACCCACACCTCTTCAGATGGGTGTCCTTTCTCCTTCCCCCCTTCTCCCCTTCATTCCCACTCTGTTTCAACTTTCCATCCTGAATCATTTATTAAGTCAGACATTGTTCCAGGCACCAAGGATATAAAAGCAGGAGACAGAAATGTGAATGCTGGCAATCCTTCATGACCACATGACAACACATGGGGATAAGGGAAGCACAAGGACTGCAAGAGCAGCTGGCAGGATGTGCAATGAAAGGATGACCACAACCTCATACTCTAGCTTTTAAAAAACAAAAGCAGCACAATAATCTTATTGAAAATATTTTTCCTTAGAGAAGAAACACATTTCATTGTGTTAGAATTAGAAAACATTGATAAGCAAAAAGAAGAAAATACAAATCATTCAGAATTTTATCAAAGAAAATCATAGTTGGAATAAATTCCATCTCTTTTCTCTGCATATGCATTTTAAAAATGGGATCATGCTGTCTTGTAATCTTTTGTTTAATTACTCTCATTATGTGTATCACTTAATATCCTGTCATACAATTTTAATTTATTTAATTTTTTGAAAGGGGTCCCGCTATGTTGCATAAGCTGGCCCTGAACTCCTAGACTCAAGTAATCCTCCCACCTCAGCCTTTTGAGCTGCTGGGACTACAGGTATACACCACCAGGCGAGCTTCCACACAATTTTAAATGACCACATACAAAACTGTAAAAGGGCACTTCATTTAACCAGTACCTTTTTTCTTATTAGAATTTGCTAATTCTAACTCTGGCTCTTATTATAATGCTATGAATAATGTTCTTATATTTCAACAATTTTATATAACTCACTTTTATATATGGGTAAATTCCTAGAATTAAACTCTGCTAACTCTGATTCTGGCAATCACCATAAGTTCCTCCTTTTTCATATATTTCTATCTCCCTGGACAAGTTATTAAACCAAACCTCTCTATATCTCAGGGTTTTTTTTATCTGTTAAATGGAAATAAAACAATAACTACCTACATAGAATTGTATGAGAATTAAATTATATAAATACCCAAAAAGCACAGAACAATTGCTCAATGGATGTTAGCATTTTCTGTTGTTATTTTATTCTATGATGTTTGCTAATCCTATGCTAATATTGTAGATATAAAATGCATTTTACTCTTAGGCATAGAAAATCATCTTCCAAATATTCTTGGCTGTTCTTAGATTTGGGGGAACATTTTTTCCTCCATATGTACTTATAATCATTTAGTTAATTCTTCACCACAAATGCAGTTGAATTTAGATGCCATTACATAGAACATATGGATCTGTTTGGGACAGAAGTAATCTTTAGAATATTAAGCGTCTCTACCCGTGAACTTGGTGTATCTTTATGGTATATCTTTTTTTTTAAGTTGTAGATGGATACAATATCTTTATTTTTGTTTGTGTTTATTTATTTATTTATTTATTTATTTTTAATGTGGTGCTGAGGATCGAACCCAGGGCCTCAAGCGTGTGAGGCAAGCGCTCTACCACTGAGCTACAACCCCAGCCCCTTCATGGTATATCTTTAATGTCCCTTGGAGAAACATTTTCCCCTTGTAGGTTCCATACCCCCCCGTCCCCACCCACCAGTGCTGGGGCTTGAACTCAGGTCCTAGCACACGCTAAGCAAGTGTTCTACAACTGAGCTACATTCCCAGCTCCCACATAGGCTTTTGAACATTTCTTGTTAAGTTTATTCTTAGGTATTTATAGTGCTCTTATTAGTAATATATTTTATGGCTGGGTTGCTAGAAATATATAGGAAATCCAATAAACATTTACATTTAGTTTGGAACTGGTTACCTTTTAAGTTCTCTTATCTCTAATAGCTTTTATTTCCTATATTTTTTTACTTAAGACTTATAGACCTGCAATAATTTATCCCCTAGATTCTTTCTTTTGTATCATAATAGTCATTCTTTTAACAAAGATTTAAGAGTTTACTATGCTCAGGAACATGATGCACCTGAAATACTCAAATAATTATTTCCCCTGAGGAACATACATTAGATCATATGAGATACAACCTTCGTTTCTATGTATGCAGTGCTATGTCCTAAATTTGTTCTTTCTTTTTGTTGTGGTTTGTTTTACAACAGCAATTGATACATAATTTACACCCCATAAGATTTATCATTTTTTATCATATTCAAAGAAGTACAACTAAGGAAGATGGAAGGAGACCTTCATCATTATACAGAATACATGTATGATGTTGTGAGGAGAAAAAAAAGAAGTGTGTCACATTAGATTGGATAGAGAGAAGTGGTGGGAGGGGAGGGGAAGGGAAGGGGGGATAGGAAGGGCAGCAAAATAAAATAGACATTATTATTGCTGTATGTATATAGGTGACTGTATGACCAATGTGATTCTGCAACCTGTACAATCATAAAAATGAGAAATTATACCCCATTTGATTCAAATGTATGAACTGTCAAGATCATTGTACTGTCATGTGTAGCTAATTAAAAAAAAAGAAGTACAACTAATATGACTAATTTTAGAACATTCTCATTAATCCCAAAAGAAATCTGAACCCTTTCATAGTCACTCCCTGTTCCTCCCCACCAGCCCCTGGAAATGACAAACCTACTTTCTGTCTTTATAGATTTGCTTATTCTGGATATTCCATATACAAAGAATCATACAATATGGGTTTGTCTGTTTGTTTGGGGGGTTTTTTGGTACTGGAGAGGTGCTTTACCACTGAGCTACATCCCCAGTCCTTTTTTATTTTAATATTTTTTATGCAAGGCAAAAGCTCTACCAACTGAGTTACAACCCCAGCCCCCCAGTCCTTTTTTTTTTTTTTTAATTTTAAGACAGGGTCTCACTAAGTTGTTGAGTTTGGCCTCGAACTTATGTTCCTCCCGCCTCAGCCTACTGAATAGTTGGGATTACAGCTGAGTGCTACCATACCTATCCAATGTGTGGTCTTTTGTGACTGGCTTCTTTCACTTAGCATAATGTTTTTAAGGTTTGTGCATGTTGAAGTGTATATCAATCAGTATTTTGCTCCTTTCTATGGCCAGGTAATATTCCACTATATAGATGCAGCTTATTTTGTTTATTCATCCATTGATGGTTGTTTCCACTTTTTAAAAATGAATAATCCTGTAATGAACACTTATGCAAAATATTTTGTGTGTACATAAGTTCCAGTTTCTCTTAGGTATATAGTGGAATTGCTGAGTAATAAGGTAATGTCTAACTTGTTTAGGAACTACCGAACTGTTTTTCTAAAATAGGTATACTATTTCATAATCCCACCAGCAATGAATGAGGAGTTCCAATTTCTCCACATTCACAACATTGTCATCTTTTTTTAGTCACCCTACTGGGTGTGTCAATATTTTTCTTATATAGGTAAATCACCCTAAGCCTATTTGAAATCAATCATGGGTCCAAAGCAGCTGTCCTAAAAACATACAGTCTAGGCCTACTTATCTCAAAAGCCATGGAGGCATCTTTTACGTGAATATTTTAAAATTAACCACTAATATTTTCTAGTCAAACCCAAAAACCAAACCACTGTCAAGTTTTTAAGTAAAAAAGAAATTATCTTATTTTGTTTTCCCTTAATACAGTTTACTCAAACTGTTTTAAATAAATTTTAATAACTGGGAGGGGGGCTTCAAAGTTTTCAAGTATTTGTACAAATACTATTTCTTTAACCTTCATAAAGCCCTATAAGTAGCTGGGTAGGTATTAACATTAACTTTTCTAATTATGTGGAAAAGGCAACCAAGGCTCATAAAGGTCAAGAACCGGGCTGGGACTATAGCTCAGTGGTAGAGTGCTTGCCTCGCACATGTGAGGCACTGGGTTTGATCCTCAGCACCACATAAAAATAAATAAATAAAGATATCGTGTCCATCTACAAATAAAAAATATTTTAAAAGTAAATAAATAAAGGTCAAGCACCCTTCAGACTATCTTCTATATTGCTGCCAAGCAATCCATTTAACATAACCTAACTCTAACTCTTAACATAACCTTCCAACACTTTAAGGCTTGAATTTCATACATGGTCTCCCCTAGGCAACAGGGTGAAGTCTATCTTTATCATTTAGGAATCTTCATGAGTTGAGGCATATTCGTCTGTCTGATCACCAGCCACTTTCTCTCCCTCACAGATTTTATGCTCTAACAATACTGATAATTTTGAATATAGTGCCAAGGTCTCTTATGCTTCCATGCCCTCACCTCATTCATGCCCTTTGTCCCTTGTTGCTCAACTCCTATTCTTCTTTCCTACCCTGACCTCATCATTCAAGTCTCAGCTCACATGCTAATTCTTCTGGGAAGGCTTCCTCTGAAGAATTCTGATGGACTTCTGCACATGCACCCAAATAGTTATTTTTTTCTGGAAAAAAATTTCCACGTCTCTCTTTCCACTAAACAATGTTCCCTGAGGGGCAGGAACACATGGTTAATAAGTAGTAAAATCTGAATTCAATCACAATCCCACATTCGCTCCTCTTTCCATCTGACCACACTGTACCACAACTGTAGGTTATATCAATTGTCCAAACATGAGCCTATGACAGCAGAATAGTATCTGCTACCATAACATGAATTAGAAGAAAGTTCAGTCTTCCCCACATTCCCTGGAGTCTTCTCTCACTCTGGAGATGACCTAGGAGAGGGAGTTAATAATGTTGGTGTGATGTGCTAAGACACCCAAGAGCCAGACTTCCTCTGGGGCCAGTGGCCCCTGAAGGACTATTGTAGGTACATCCATACCACCCGCTTGCACAATGGCTCAGGAATACATCTATGAGCAGATGTTGACAAGTTAGAGCAGGAAAACATCAGCAAGCACTTAGAAATTTCACCTGCATGCTTGAAGAGAAATTCCTGCAATCTTACTACTACTTACCCTCTTATCTCCTTAAGACAGTTGTAGATTAATTTGTACTTGGTATTACTTCTGAGAACCAAATGACTCTTAGAAAATCACATCCCTTGGTCAATAAAGCATTTTCATTTGAAGTGGGAATGAGAGTATTCAAGGAAATGAAGCAGAAGGACAGAGAGTTAAGGGGAAAAAGAAAACACAGTTGTGAAACTGGAGATCATTAGTACTAAGAAAGTTCTAACTGCCTCCTTATGGGAAGAAAAGTACTTCTTTCTGAGTAGGCAAAAGGTCATGGAGTAGGGTCCTGTTGTAAACTCAATAGGGACAAAAAATTAAGACAAATTCAAAGAAGGGCAATGGAGTATTGCTAACAAAGACAAAAGTGGAAATAAAATCTCTTACCAAGCAGCCTTTGCTAATGCAGAAAATGCATGAATTGACAAAAGATTCCAAGACTTTCACATTTTAGTGCTGCAAATACTGAGGAAACTGACAATCGTGGGAAGGAGAAAAGAAACAAGGGGACAAGGTCTGTGGGGGTGAGTTCATGGAAGAGAAAGGAATTAAAATGGGAGCAAGAGGCATACATTTGCAAAGCTAAAAGCATACCGCAAAATAAAAACAGCACTGCTTTGTTAATCTCAATAATGGAGTATTCAATGATTGATCTATGGTCATACCTCAGACCTCATACTAGATGATCTCTAATCCTTTTATTTGATTTTTCAAACAGACTGCAGTTAAAAAAAAGAAAAAGAAGAAAAATCAAGCTGAACCCTCATTAGAGTCCATCTTCATTTTACAGTGGACAGTTAAAGAAATTCAAAACACAATTCACAATTATGAGATTTTTTTCCATACAAGGTTGTCAAAGATTTTTATTTATTTATTTATTTATTTATTTTTTAAGCAACCAACACAGTATCAGAGAAGGTATGAAGAAAGAAGTTACTCTCCTGAACTGTTAGGAAGTCCACCAACCAGTACCCTCCTTCTGGTGGGGACTTTCACAAACTATTAAAATGAGAAATGTATTTATCTAACTATCCAACAATTCTGTCCTTTAATTATTAAACTAAGTTGATCCTGCAATAAGTACCTAAAGACAAGTGCAAAAGGAAATTCATTATAGTAGTGTTTTACTTTCAAAATTTAAACAATCTGATATTAATCATAGGAAGCTTGTTAAATAAATTATGATACATATGTGCAAGCACATACTATGTACTGAAAAGGATGGTAAAGATTTATATTGATGGCCAAGAAACAGCAAGAGAAAACAGCAGACTATAAAACAACAGGTAACCCCATGCAGATACAACCTCACAAGATGACCATGTGAACCTCCTACAGCTTCTGGATCAGTGGCACTCTCTTGGAGCTATCAGCCTGGCCCTGCTCCATCTCAGGAAGGCTGCTGATCATTATGAAGATCCTGGAAATATTAGGCCCTTCCACAAGACACAGCTGCCTCCCACCCACAGTGTAATCACCTTAGATGCTGTGCCCGGCAGTAAAGATTACGAAACACACACAGTGTTTGCTTCTCTGTGGCTCTAACTGGACTGAAATACACAGCTTAAAAGTTTTGAATCCTCTTATTTACTTCAGTCCACTTTGAGTTCCACATCAGATGTGTAATTTGAATTGTGATAGTGGCTGTAACTGTACCTTGCATGGTCTCAAGAAATCAATAATGAAATCCCAGATATTTCTAAGTTTGAAACAATGAAATAAATATCTAATTCTATCAAAGGAGAATAATCTTCCTGTTAGGTTGCTTCTGTATGATTATTATCAAGAATTATTGTACAAAAATATCTGCACATATGGTATAATTTAAAAACCCAACATATATTGTATGATCCTCATTATATAAAATTTTAAGTATATGTAGAGAGAGATGTCTGAATGAATATTCACCATTGTTGACACTTCAGTGAACTGTGAGTAGGAGAATTTGGGGAGGTTTAAATTTTTATTTTGGGGACTGGGGATATGGCTCAAGTGGTAGCGCACTTGCCTAGCATGCGTGAGGTACTGGATTCTATTCTCAGCACCACATAAAAATAAAATAAAGATATTGCATCCACCTAAAACTAAAAAATAAATATTAAAAATAATTATTTTGTGTGTATTTCTGTACAATGTAAATTTTTGAAAAATTAGTATCATTTCTTATAAGAAAACAATTAGTTAAAAATTACTTTGAAAAGACATCTGTGTGTGGTGGCACATGCCTATAATGCCAATTACTTGGGAGTATGAGGCAGGAGGATCACAAGTTCAAGGTCTGCCTGGTTAACCTACAAGATCATGTCTCAAAATAAAAAGGGCCAGAGATGTAGCTTAGTGGTAGAGTGCTTGCCCAGCATGTGCAAGGCCCTATGTTCAACTCCCAGTACAGAAAAATAGAGAAATCAAATACAAATGATTCCTTTTAAAAAAGAATTTTGACATCATGTACATTTAAAGGCTCACTTGAATATTATTTAAAATATTATTCTTTGGAATTATTCTACATAAAATCTTTTTAATCCAGAAGGAAATTACACCAAATATATGAGAACCCCTTATATGAGAACATGAACTTTGTCCAGAACTAAATCTCTCTCTTACAAGGGACTGAGTGACAATTTTAAACCTTATTTATTCTAGTTCTTTAACTCCATCTGGAGATCTGTACATTTCTGAAATAACATTCTTACTAGAATTACAAGGAAGCCTTAATTAAACTCTCAGAAATCTAAAACATACTGAATACTTGATAACATGACATAAATTCTCAACTTGTGCCACAACATGAAACCTGTGTGCACTTCCCAGCCTCAGAGTCCCTGGCAATGTTTTACACAGATCTCACCTCTTCAAGCTTCTTCTCGATCTCCTTAAAGACAAGATCTGCCTTAAATCCATCACTTGCAGCACTGGTGGGAGCAGCCTCAATCTGATGTGTCCTATGAGAATTGGGGGAAAGGATCAATTTCAATTCATGGGTACTAGGGTTTTCAACATTTATACAATAGTAATTGTCAAAAACTCCTAGAGATATTGCAACTCTTATCTAAAATTTTCAAAAAGCACATAAAACAATCCTTTTTCCCAATTTTTCACCAAATATTGAGTACTCATTAGGTGCTAGACATTATGCTTGAAAATACTGTAGACCAAAGAAGCTCCCCCAAGAAACTTATATTAGCAGTGGAGAGAGACAATTGGCAAGCAAATAAATAAAAAAATATAGTTACTATGAAGAAAATAAAGCTGGTTAAGGGGATATAGAGGGAGTACATGCCAGCTGAAAAATGGACTGTAAGGGAGTATGTGGGAGGGCAGGGAGATCAACTGAGTAGCTTTTGCAACAGTCCAAGTGAAAGATAATAATTACAACAGGGAAATAAGAGAGTGGGAAGGAAGCAGGTTGGATTTGAGATTGTTTTGTTGTTGTTGTTTTTTTTTTTTAATCTCCAATACAAGGGTTTAACAACCATCTGTCTACTGGATTATTTGATACTTAGGAAACAACTACAGAAATATGGCTTGATGTGGCACAAGGAACATAGCCTTTACAGAGCCACAGGCTGAACCCAAGGGCCTCCTCCACTCACAAGTGACATGATTTAGAGCAAGCTACTTCACTGCAGTGCACAGTGGGAGGGAGAGAAGAGGTGGAATGTGCTAAAGACTGCAGAATTAAAGGGGATCACCTCTCAGAGTTCGTGGCCCATGGTGAACAACAAGAGCCATAACTACTATTGATTCAGAGCCTCAAGGTTAGGTATGGACACAAATCCCAGCAGTCTGAGAAAGAAGAGGGCAGCTTAGGCTGCCAGGTAATTCCTCTCACATACCACCGCAACAGACTGGAATGCAGGAAGGAAATGTCTGAAGGAGAGGAGCAGAGCAGCTACTCATCAACAGCCCTTCTTTCTTTCTTTCTCTCTTTCCCCTTTTCACCTCCTCCCTATACAGGCTCCCAGTTCATTTTTCCTTTCCCTTGCTCTATCACTTCATAAACATTTAGTGACCTTCTGCTACACTGCCAGGTGCACTGGAGATTTTAGGGTGAAGCTGTCACACCCAAGCCCTGTCCTCACTGAGTTTATATTCTTCTGCTGGAGAAAAAAAAAAGCCACATATTCCCCCAAAAGATTGGGAATTGTAGCACGTATCTGGATACAAAGAAAAAGAGAAACTTACTTTATGTAGGACAGTCAAGAAATGACTCTCTGAACAGGTGATTTCAAGCTACTATTCTATTAGAGGAAGAAAGGGAATTAGCTATTCAAAGAAGAAACTGCCAAGATCCTGAGGGAGAAAAGAGCTTGGTATGTTAACAGAAAGTAAAATAAGACCAACCTCACTAGAACCCAATGAATAAGGGAAAATGACATGAAATGAAATTGGAGAATTAGGCAGAGACCGGATTATGTAGACAAGCCAAAGCAAGGAATCTGGAAAACCACAGAAATGGTAACAAGGAAAAGAAATAGTTTGTGACTATTCTTACAACAATGAACAGAATGATTTGGGGAGAAGGGACAAAAACTGAGGTAAGGAGACTTTTTATGAGTTCTGGAGTAGTCTTGATAGGTGGTGAGTAGAAATGGAGAGAGAGAAGTATAGTCAAAGTAGAATCCATAGCTTGTGTTGCTGGGGATGAGGGAGATGGAAAGGGACAAAGAAAGGGCAAGGAAGATTCAGGAGTTTGAGCATAACTGGGGACAACAGGGCCATTTCCTGAGATATGAAAGAATATAGAGAATAGAAGAGCTCAACTTTCGGTTACAGGTACAGTCAGTATGGGAGATCAGAAGGCAGTTGGATGAGAGTCTGGGGCTCAGATGAGAGATCTAGCTGGAGACAAAAATGAAGCAATCATCAGTGTTATAGTTTAGATGTGGTGTCCCCCCAAAAAGCTCACATGTGACACAGTGCAAGAAGATATAGAGGAGAAATGATTGGATTGTGAGAGTCTTAACCCAATCAGTGAATTAATCCCCTGCTAGGGATTAACTGAGAGGTAATTGAAATAGTAGGATGTGGCTGGAGGAGATGGGAATTAGGGGCATGGCTTTGGGGTATATATTTGTATCTGGCAAGTAGAGACCTCTCTTTCTGCTTTCAGATCACCACATGAGCAGCTTCCCCCTGCCACATTTCTTCCACCATGATGGAGCCAACCTTCTATTGACTGAGACCTCTGAAACCATGAGCCCTTAAATAAACTTTTCCTTCTCTACAGTTATGCTGGTCAGGGCCTTTTAGTCATAGCGGCAAAAAAAACATGACAAAAAACAATCAGCATAACCCTTTAAATCCCTGGGAATAGAACATAAGGGAATTATAGAGAAAGAGAGCCCAGGACAATGCCCTTCAGAACCCCACTATTTAGAGTCTGGGACAGAAGGGGAGGAGGCAGCAGCCAGTGAAGACTCAAGCAGAAATCCAGGAAAGTATGGTACCACAGGAGCCCAGAGGAGAGGGAGTTCAGGGGGAGGAGTAAACTATGCCAAACACTGCCAAAGGTTAAGTACCCACTGGATTTGGTAACAAGGTAACACATGACCTTGACAAAGGCTGCTTCAAGTGGCAGAGGGTAGTGGTCAATTACAGTGGACTGAGGGGAAATGAAAGGAAACAGGACAGTGTGCTCTTTTGAGACATTCCTTTTAGGGGAACAGTGAAATGGAATAGTCTTTAGAGGGGAACACGGTATCAAGGAAGGTTATCTTCTTATTTTGAGGTGGGAAAAAAATAGGATCTTTTGACTAATCTCTTTAATCTCTTCAAGAAATGTATATTTTTTCCTGGATGTACTTCTAAAAAACTTCTCTATTTTTTTTCACTGTGTTAAAATAAATATAACACAAGATTTACCACCTTCTTCTTCTTCTTCTTTTTTTTTCCTCCCAATACTGGGGATGGAATTCAGAACCTTGTGCATGCTAAGGATAAAGCAACATTCCCAGCCCTTTTCAAAATTTTATTTTGAGAACCATAAGGTTCTTACTAACTTTCCCAGGCTAGCCTTAAAATTGTGATCCTCCTGCCTTAGCTTCCTGAGTAGCTGGAACTACAGGCGTGTGCCACACAGTTCAGTGGTATTAAATATGTTCATAATGTTGTGCAACTGTCACCAATATCCATCTCTATAACTGTTTTCATCTTGTAAAACTGAAACTCTGTATCCATTAAGTAATAACTCCTTAATTTCCCACTCCCTGCTATTCCGGGCAAACACCATTCAGCTTTCTATCTATGACTGTGACCACCCGTAAGTACCTCATATAAGTGAAATCACACAGCATTTGTCTTCATGTGACTAGAGTTTATCACTTAATGTCTAAAAGGTTTATTTATGATGTAGCATATGTTAGAATTTTCAAGGAATGTTTGGTTTGGTTTCAAGATTGACTTATCAGAAGAGCTATACCTGATGATAATAATAAACCAGAGGAAAGGAGGTGGAAGGAGAGAAATCTTAAGAAGGTGACAGGGGACGGGATCTAAGCCAAGGAGGCTGAAGGGAAGAAACAGGATCAGAGAGGTGCAATTCCAGACAGGTCTATCAGTCTAGTGATCAATGATGAGGGTGTTTGGGTTTAAAAATTGCTACATTCTCAACAAAGAATAAGATAAAGCAATCAGCAGAGTGGGAATGAAAGGGTGGCTATGGAAAATCTAACAAGTTGAAAAGTGAGCCTACTAGGGGCATCACACTGATAGGAACCAGGAATGGATCTGAAGCAGTAGAGCAGGGAGGCTTCAGGGCCATGTGGCTTTGCTTCTGGGTCTGAATGTCTCCTTCTTGGCAAACTCTGCTTCTCCCTTCAAGTCCTGGCCCAAGAAACTCCTTTTTCTATGAGACCCTACTAAAGATCTACTTCTCAAAAGCAGATGCCACATTTAAAAAAAAAAAAAAAAAAAAACCAACCCAACAGCAACAAACAAAACACTTAGCATCACTAGTTCCCAACACATAAAGTCTGAGCGATCTAAAGCCAGGTGACAACATTAGTTTTTCTCCAAAAGCCAATTCCATTTAATCAATAGTTGAATTTTCAACCTTTACCCACCACCATGTATTTCTCCAAACTTGCCACATCTTAACTGAATATGATAAATAAGATATTAGTAGCAGTGTACAGTATTTGTTATGTGGTAATGTCCAGACATGTTCCCAAAGGTCACAGACTATCTCTTTATCTTGTTTGTTTTGAAAAGCTCATCAAGTTGATGATTCACCAACTTTTCACCCAGATTAGGAAAAAGTTAATATGTGGTATGCTATCAATATTTTCTGAAAACCCCTCCTTACAGTTTATTTGATGTGTGCCCTGTTCAAAGGAAACTGAAGCTATTAACTGAAATTCAGAAAGAGAATATACACACTCAAAAAAGTTTATTCTCACTATTTCTTTCCATTGTTTTGTTTGGTTTTTGATATGGGGGTCTCACTATGTTATCCAGGATGGCCCCAAGCTCTCAGGCTCGAGTGATCCTCCCATCTCAGTCTCCTCAGTGCTGGGATTACAGATATAGGGCCACTAAACCCAGCTTCTCATGTGGTTTCTTTATACACAAAGTTCTTTTAGCAAAACTAAATTCTGACTGGTTTTATTTATATTTGGTTTACCTATAAATTTCCTGGAATAAATCTAGTATGTAAAATGTTGGAAAGGACTCTGAAGAGAAACCAGCAGACTATCCTAGTTGGTGAATATCTAGATTGCTGAAAAATTTCATTGTAAGACCTATACAGGCTTCATTTAAACAATGTCAAAGACTGGGAACACAATAGTCTACAAAACACATACCCTGCCCTAAGACAGATGATTGTTAGAACCTTGATTCCTACCACTTGAGGCTTTCTTTAGATAGACTCGTCTTCATTTTCAGGGCCCCTGTTGCAGCACTAAACACATCAATCTCACCTACAAACAGGTATATAATACTGACCATGAAGGAGTTTTATGAGGATTAAACAAAGATGTACAGCTGGGAGTATAGCTTAGTGGTAGAACACTCACCAAGCTTGTATACAGTCCCTGGGTTTGGTCCCCAAAACAGAGGGAAAAAAGTAAGACTGAATGTGAAACATCTAGCATGTATGGCCTGGCACATACCAGACCCTCAAAAAGGAATTGTTTAAGAACTCTCACTCCAGGAACAGTGTTCACACCCATAATCCCAGCTACTCAGGAGGCTGAGGTGAGAGGATTGCAAAGTTCAGGCCAAACTGGGCAACTGAGCAAGACCCTGTCTCAAAAGTAAAGCTAAAATGTAGCTCAGTGGTAGAGAACCCCAGTTCGTTCCCCAGTAAAAACAAAACTTTTATCAACTCAATAATAAAAAGACTTAAAAACAACCCAAATTAAAAAGGGCCATTTCTCCAAAGATGATATACAAATGGTTAATAAGCACATGAAAAGATACTTAACATCATTAACTATTTAGGAAATGCAAATCAATATCACAATAAGAAACAACTTCACACAGAGTAGGACAGGTAGAGAAAGGATGTAGAAAAATGGAACTCCTCATACAAATAGGATATTATTTGGTCTTAAAAAGGAATAAAGTACTAATACATGACACACATGGATGAACCTTGAAAAACATCATATTAAACGAAAGAAGACAATAATGAAAGACCACCATATTGCCTTATTTATATGAAATTTCCAGGGTAGACAAATCCACAGAAACAGAAGGTAGAGGAGTGGTTTCTAGAGACTGCAAGAAGGAAGGGACTAGGGAATGATGGGTAATGGGTATGCAGTTTCTTTGGGGGTGATGAAAATTTTCTAAAATTGATCATGGCACTGAGTGCACAATTCTGTCTATTCTCTAAATTGCTGAATGTACACTTAGAATAGATGATTTGTGTGGCATGTGAATTGTGTCTTAACAGTTGTTTAATTTTTAAAAAGTGGTTGCTGTTATTCTTAGTGCATGAGAAGAATTAAAAAATCCTATATTTTAAATTTCAATTGCAAAATCTACAGTTAACCCTAATCAGTTTGTTCTAATTAGCGATGGTTTTGCAATGTGCCTAAGGACTACAAAGTAAAGTTCATTCTCAATCAGCAACTCCCCTTGACTTCAGAGAAGGCAAATGGTCCCGTCACAACTGAAATACAGCCTTTGAAGACAAAAAGAAACCCTTCAGGATAAGTAGGAGGTGCTCCTCATCCAAACCACTATTTTCGACAAGTTGGGTATATTTCCCTTTCTGCACAAAAAAATTCAAGTTCATTTTCTTCAAGTCCCTGGGTGATAGCTGTAATTTAATAAGTAAAACCACTTTTGTCCATTTAATCAGTTATATGAACTAGAGACATAAGAAGAAAAGAAAAAGCACTGGAAAATGAAAAAACAACTATAATGTGTGGCAGTTGTTTTCTGTTTCCCTAAAAGAGATACTTTCAGTATTTTCTAAATGAGGAAAGGCCCAACAGAGGCGGTGTGAAAAGTCAATAATGTGCTCTTTCCACTGATCAATATTGCCTGTTTAAAAAAAAAATCTGCCTCCAGTCTATTAAGAAAAAATCTAAAAAGATATCACATACAGATGGTATTTAACTAGGGAAGACGACAGGAGCAGAAAACAGACCAGTGGTTTCCAGGAGGGAGAGGGTAGTGGGGAAGGCTGGCTAGAGAGGTGCACAGGAATTTGGTGGGGGGGCAGTGATGGAACTGTTCTATATCTTGATTATGGTAGTAGTTATGACTATGCAGCATATGCATGTCAAAACTTACAGAAACCTGATGAAATGGTAAATTTTACTGTAAGTAAATTTAAAAAAAGAAACGCATAACAAAGTTGAGTTTTAGAAATAGGTTTCATTTAACCTATTAGAATGAATTAGGTTCTATTTAACCTAGTACAGAATGCAAACTTAAGTCTGTATAATAAAAGTTCCCTAGTTAGATATCATAAAAGTTCCCTACTTAGATAAAAAGAATTTTGTGTTATGTAACACAAAAACCAATCATATTTAAAACTGATCTAATTTTTAAAAATTTAATTGCAAATCAAATGCAGTTGTCATCACTCTTAAATATGGCCTCAGTTAAGAGAGGTGGCACACACCTGTAATCCCGCTACTGGGGGGCTAAGATAGGAAGATCCCATGTTTAAGTCCAGTCTGAGCAACTTAGCAAGACCATTCTCAAAAATAAAATATAAAAATGGCTGGAGATGTAGCTCAGTAGTAGAACACTTGTTTGGGCCATAAAAGGCTTTGGGCTCAGTCTTCAGTACTGGGGGTTAGGGGCGGGGGTGATGGGACTCTCCTCTTCATTTTCAGGGCCCCTGCTGCAGCACTAAACATTTCTTTTCCACACTATTGCACCATCTGCCCAAGCATTCCTCGCCTCTATTCTCTCTTCCATCCAACTCAAAGTAATGCCAGGCTCTTGTACTGAATAATCACATCATCTTTTTCTAAAACACATATTGTATGAGAGAAATTCCAAACTCCTCTGAGTGTTATAAAAGCAAGTTGTACTGCTTCTGTTTGCTACACAGTACTGACTCTGTCCCTTTACCTAGATCCACACAAAATAATCTACCCTCCACCCATGCAGCAGTACTTGCCAAACTTTCAAATCTATATACTTATGTATAGGCCTGGACTGCCCTTCCCCTACCCTTCTGTTGGGCAATCCTAGTCATCCAAGTTTAAATTTACCTTCTTCAGAGTAATCTCTTCCTCTGAGCTTTTATGGCATTTTGAAAAGAATATGTTCTGCCCTCCCCATATACTTAGAAGATGACACTTGAGGGACCTGAGCATGTAGCAGTTGCTCCATCAAAGTTAGCTAAATGAGTACACAAATCAGATTATGTGCAGTGAGTAGCTTATAATTATTTTGTTTAAAAACCAAACCATAACCATATTTTTAAACTGTATTTCTAATACCAGAATTAAGAATTTTCCAATTTTGCCTTTGAGCATAAATTACATTCTGTCACTAAAACTACCAAATAATGTCTGTAATATCTCCAGCCAATTTCTTTTCAATCATTAGTATATCATCTGGAATTTTTTTTCATGTTTCTGCTTTCCCAAAAATATCATCCCTGGGTTATGTGAACACTTATTTCTCATAAAAACTATGAGAATTCCACATTTAAAAGAAAATCTATTGTCCAGAGCCCATAACTTTCTACTCTTGAGAAAATTAGAGAACTATACAAATTATGCTGACTATGGTAGCTTTTTCTAATTTGCCTTTTACTAAGGGTTTTCAACTCCAAATATAATAGGGACTTCCAGAGTGAATACGAAACAATGAGTTAGATTTAGGAGCAAACATTAAGATTCAATAACTTTTATTTAATTCAATAAACATTTATTCACTATGAGAGATTCTAAGAGCAGGATAAGGAAGTCACACTCTTAGGCCTCAAGTATTTCATAGTTAATGAAACCAGATTGATTACAAATCAAACCGGAATAGGACCCAAGAGGCACAAAGAGCTGTGAATATTTAAAAGGTGATGATACTTGAAATGGGTCTTAAAGAATTTTTACAACAGAAATGATACTCTGGGCAGAGGAAGAATAGAGAGAAGAGATCCAACAACATGTAAAGAGTAAGAATACAGGGGATTCTGTGTGTCTCACACCCTTTATAAAGCAAAAGGTATGAATAAATTTCAGGAGAAAACAAGGGAATTAAGTGCTAAAAGCTAAGGTATGGTTAAAGAGAATAATGAGGGAAAGTAAGAATAAGGACCTTTGATTTCATTCAGATCAGCCTTGCCTGTCATCAGGAGTGAGGCTAGACTATGAGGTATTCCAGCACACAACGGTAGCAAAGATGCCTCTATATAAAAGGCTTATCATGAAAGAATAATTATGTCAATGAGAAAAATCAATTTTTTAGAATAGGGAAGATTATGTTTGCTGATAGAGGGAAATGAGCCAAGGGGAGCAGAAAGATGGAAAGATTCAAAAGAGGGTATACATAATATTTGGAACAAAGTTACAGAAAGTGGTGGGAAATAAAAGCATGCAAAGAGGAAAGCTGGGCCTTTGAAAGGAAGGGGGACTTTTTACCTTTTGGAAGAAAGAGCCCTTCTTAAGTGACAAGGAAGTTGAGGGACCTAGAGGGATGGCAGAAGGTGTCTGAGCCTTGGGGAGAGCAGGTGTTTGAAGGAAAGGAAAAAGTCAGCAAGAGGCCAAAGGATGTCAGCAGCAGTGAAGGCCTGGTGACTCAGAAACACACATTTGGGAAGTTCCAATCCCACATGTACTGACTGGGTGGCTTCCTCTATCCACCTCAAAAGCCTGGGCGGCCAGGAGAGAAAGCCTGTGGGAAAGGAGACCAAAAAGTGATTCGCCTGAACTCCTACTCTGGCCGCCTGGGGCTCCTGTTCAGCACTCTTGGCTTCGCAGGATGTGGGTGGAATATTTCCCTAAAGCTGCTGAAGTTTAAAAGCCGTTGCCAAGGCAATCAAAGTAATGAGATTACTTTTCCCTGAATACTAAAACAATAAAATTAGGACTTTTACCTGGAATGGGTCCACTGTGAATAGTCAGAAGGATTAAATGACCAAATGCAGAATGCCACTTACCTGGCGGCTTCCGGAAAACCCATCTTATAGAGCGTGACCACCACTGCTCCTCCGAGGCCTAAATTATGCTGCAGAGCAACCTTTGCACCAGGAACTTGCCTCTTCCCGGCTTCCCCTCTCAGCTGCCAGCAGAGTTCGGCACACTGAGCCAGACCTAGCGAATCGAACACAGAGCACGGGAGTGCGGAGTTCAGACAGCGGCAGCCACCAGCCTCCTACAGCCAGAAACGCCGAGCGTCTAATAGTGACTTTGGATTAAAGCAGTAGACAATCTCTTATTTGGGAAATATCCAATATATCTGAAGAAATTCCCTCCACTCTTTCAACGCACTCAACCTGTCGTTTTCTGGCACTTTATAAGCGAAAACACCAAAAAAACGATTCGCCGGCCCAGGAAAACGGGCATAAAACAATTTAAGTATGTCATTTTTAATGTATCAGAAGAAAATACTTACCTAGGATTTGGGAGTTCATTAGAAAATAATCTAGGATTTGGACATTCACTTTCCCTTAAAAACATCTAGCTGATAAAGGAAATTTTCCCATTATTTTCCCCAAGTAGTTCCCAACAAATATGAATTGCTTTCCAGACCCATTCCCAGCTGTTCGCAAGAAGAGTTATGGATTCATAACATTCTGGCCCTTGGATAATAAATTCTAATGATATAAACACTGAGAAACAGAAAAATTAAGTAATCTGAATAGTCAGAGCAGGCTAATTCCAAAGCTGAGACTACAACTCATGTCTCAAAATTTAGGTTTGTCTTTCTATCAGCCCAGCTATTAAAAGAGAACTGAGTTAAAAATGGTTAATCAAGGGGCTGGAGTTCTAGCTCAGTGGTAGAGCGCTTGCCTAGCATGTGTGAGACACTGGGTTTAATCCTCAGCATCTCATAAAAATAAAATGAAGGCATTGTGTCCATACACAATTAAAAAAAAAAAAAAGAATGTTCAATCAGGAAAGACTGGTTTCACTGTCCTGGAGGCAGTGCTCTGCAGGCCTACCTAGTGTTTATTCCACCCACATCCTAAGTAACAACTGCTGACTTCTGAGCATCTGTGACAGTTTTCTATACAATCCCTAACCCTTAAAGACATTTTTAATATTGTCATAATATCTTTATTTATTTTATTTATTTTTATATGGTGCTGAGGATGGAACTCAGTGCCTCACATGTGCTAGGCAAGCGCTCTGCCGCTGAGCTACAACCCCAGCCCCCACCTCCCCAATAAATTTTAATTGCCACTTTTCATTTCTAAGCAGTGCCACATATTCAAAGTATACCCTAAACACTTTTTTTTAAAGAGCTAACTCCAGGGGCTGGGGATATAGCTCAGCTGGTAGAGTGCTTGCCTCACATACGTAAGGCCCTGGGTTCAATCCCCAGCGCCAGAATAAAAAAAAAAAGAGCTTTAACTCCACATCTTTAATTTTTTTTCCCATGATACTGGAGATTGAACTCAGGGCCTTGCACACACTAGACAAGTGCCCTAGTGATTTTTTTTAAATTGTGAGCATTTTGAAAATTAATGAAGATCAAATTGAAATTATTGTATTATACCCAAACTTTGGAGCAATCAATTGCACTAGAAATCTGCCTTATAAAAAGTCTAAACATCTAATGAATATGCATAACAAAAAGTATTAAAACTGGTTTTATATTCACTGGTTAGTGAAATATTGCTAGTTGCCTTCACAAAAATAGTCTCAAATGATTTACAACCACTTGAGAAAATATTCAAGCTCACCATTGATGAAATAAAACAGAATCATACCACTTGCAACTGATCAAATTGCTAAGGGTATTTAAAAATGAGAAAAATCAAAGCTAGAAAACTATGCAGAAAGACACTCAGTACTGGTGAATGTTTAAGCCAGCAAAACCTTTTGGAGAAGAAACAGGTGTAGGCCCAGTTTTATATCCAAAGCTATCAGTTCACCACATTGTTATGACAGTGAAAAACTAGATAGTCTAAAAGTGAAATAATTGGTTAATGGTTATATAAATTATGAGCTATCCATATGCCAAAAGGAAAAGTCACACACATTTAATAACTCTATGACTTATGACCTCTCTGCTCAACACATTCACAGCATTTCTGTGATCAGATATATGGGAGAGGCAGTTTCCCCATATACCAAGAACTCTTCAGTGGACACCAGTTGGGCATCCCACAATTCAATTCAATTCTGAAACTGTCTACCTGGAGATAGTGGCTACAACTCTGAGATCCCACAATTTCCTCCATGGGTTTGATTAATTTACTAGGATGGCTTATATAACACAGGAAACACATTTTGCCACTTCATTACAAAGGACAGAGATAGAGAGGTACATGGGGCAAGGGCAGGAAGGACCTGAGCACAGGAGCTTCTGTGTGCAGCCCTTCCAGAAGGAGTATATGCTCACCAACAACAAAGCTCATCAAATCAAGTTGTCCAGAAGTTTTTATAGAGTTTGATCTCTAGTTCCACCTTTTTCCTGGAGGCTGATGGGTAAGTTTGAGGGTTCCCATCCACTAATCCTCTGACTAGTCCCAGAAAAACTGCTTTTGTATAAATTCAGGTGTAATGGAAAGGGCTTGTTATGAATAATGATAGATACTCCCACCCGTTAGGATATTGCAGAAGGTTTTAGAAACTTTGTAAAAGAACAAATACTATAACAAAAGATGCTCCTCTCACCCTTATCATACAGAAAATTTTATAAGGGATTTAGAAACTGTGTGTGTCAGAAACCAGACAAAGATAAAAATATATATATATATTTCATATTACATAGTATATGATAAAGTACTTTGTTCCCATTTAAAATGGTGCTCATAAAGTTTTTAACAATACAGAAAAATGCTTATGAATCTTATTGGATATATTTTCTTACCCATCAACCCAACAAATATTTAGGAATACCTAGAATGTGCCAAACACTGCAGGAGTACCTATGATGACACAAACACGGGATCAGGAGATCCAGCAATAAACAAGATAAGCCTGGTCCTTTCCCTTGTGAAATTGATGGCCTGAGAGAGATGCTGACAGTTGAAATGTAGTCTGATAATGCCACCACAGGCATCAGCATATATGATCCCAGAGCAGAGAGGAGGAATACCTAGTATAGCTTAGAAGGTCAACGAATGATGTCCAAATGCTAGAAATCTAAACTGAGACTCTGTGAGTAAAGAGAAGATAGAGGGAAAAGGAGAAAAGAATGCTTCTAGAAGAGTGAGAAACATGTATGAAGAAACATGGTCTGCTTAAGGAACAGAAAGTTGGGTGGGTCAGGAAAGAGAGTGTTCAAAGCAGCTAAAATAGGAGGAAGGGGATACAGAAAGGGAAAGTAGAGAAAGAGGGAAAGGAGAGAGAAACAGGGAGAGAGAGGGATGGAAGGAGGAATAAATGTAATGGAAGCACTTCCAGATTTTGTAATAATTTCAATCTCTACTGCAGAAGACATGATAGACTACACAAATCTCTACTAATCATTTGCCCAACTTAAATGAAAGAAGAAGGAAGGGAGGGAATAAAGATCCATGTAATTAATTTATTTTCTCATTCATTTGCTTTTGACAAATGCTGAGTGTCAGGGGTGGGGGGGGAACATACTGTTTATATGAGCTTTCTGATTATCTACTTTCAAATAAACAGGTTCCTTATATTACTAGAATCTATTCTGTGAAGAGCAGAAGTCAACAATTGGCCTCAGGAATTCACTTGCCAAGAAAGTGGGAAAACATCAACTATTTCAGCAAATTTTTAAATTTTTTTTTCCCTTGGATAATTTCTGGCATTGAATTGAAAGCCATCTTTCCCTCTGCCATGAACATAATATGCTTATAAATAAATTATGGACAAGCATAGGAATGTACATTCTGTCAAAGTAGTATATTCAATCAGTAATAGCCTTCTTTTAGTTAGGGGAAATTTTTTTTATCCTGATTACTTCATTTACCATCATCTTTCTGGAAATTCTTCCTAACAAGTTATTGCTCAATATTTTTATATAAAAACAACCGGGCTAGTACTCAGCTATATAGACAGAGTATTTGCTTCTAAAATAAATCATTCAAACATCTAATATATAAAAATATAAAGAATTTATAGCGTGGAGCTGGGGTTGTGGCTCAGTGGTAGAGTGCTTGCCTAGCGCGTGCGAGGCCCTGGGTTTGATTCTCAGCACCACATAAAAATACATAAATAAATAAATAAATAAATAAAACAAAGGTATTGTGCTCATCTACAGCTAAAAAATTATTAAAAAAATTTATAGTGTAACTTAAAATACTATCAAATATAACTATTAAATGCTTTGGAAAACAACAGAATAGAAATAACTCTAAGGGATAATGTTTTGAGAAACTATCTGAAATCTTTTCTTCATCCTGTTTTCTTCAACCCATGACCGTTCCTATAACGTGAACACAGCCAAAGCCAGGTGTGGTGGTACACAGCTATAATCCCAGCTTACTCTGGAAACTTGAGGCAGGAGAATCCAAGTTGGACACCAGTCTGGGAAACACTGTTTTAACAGTGGGATACAGTCTGAGAAATGTGGTGTCGATTTCATCACTGTATAAACATCATAGAGTGTGCCTATACAAACTTAAATGGTATAGCCTAATGCATACCTAGGTTGTATAGTATATATCATCACATATGCAAACTGTGGTTAACCAAAATATCATTACAGCTCAGGACTTGGAAAGTTCTTTTACTATAAGTGAAGCAGTACAATATCACTTGAAGACAAACTATGATTAGATGTATACAATAAAGCCAGGTATGGTAGCAAATACCTATGATCTCAGCTACTCCAGAGGCTGAGACAAGAGGATAGCTCAAGCCCAGGAGTTTGAAACCAGACTAGGAAACATAATGGGATGCCACCTCAAAAATGAAAAAGAAAAGAGAAAAACAAACAAAAAAAGATGTATACAACAAGTTATAAAGCAACCACTCAAACAATAAAACACTGTTGCCAGGCACAGTGGCCCATGCCTTGTAATCCCAGCAGCTCAGAGGCTAAGACAAGAAGATCACAAGTTCAAAGCCAGCCTTAGCAAAAGTGAGGCACCAAGCAACTCAGTGAGACTCTCTCTCTAAATAAAACAGAAAATAGGGCTGGGGATATGGCTCAATGGTCTAGTGCCCATGAG